ACTCACATCAGAAATGGATGAGGTCAGAGGTTCTCTATCAGTCAGCCGTGGGGTTGTGTCCAGGAGTGGCCAATGCACTTCCAGCTTAGATGAGGTAGGGAGACCAGTCTCCAAAAAAAACCAAAATAAATCCTTATTCAGTGACCCTCTGAAGTAACCATCAAGCGAGGCGGAAACCAGGGAGAGGTATGCTCAACAAAAGTATTCCTAGTGGACGATGAGGTCTTCCAGATCCTCCTGTTTATGGATGACATTGTAATGATTGCATCCAGTACCAAGCAGAACCTCCTGGAAGAGACTCTGTAACCACCCAGAGGCATTTCACTTGTCCATTCACAGAGGAAAGACCAAATGGATAATGCACATCTATTGCCTAGATTTCAACATGCGTCTTATGAAGCTCGTCTAACAGTATACATATCTGACACAGGGTACAGGTAAACAGTGACCTAGGTCTGGAACTGAAAAAGAGAAGGGTGGGTTGTACCACTTACAGGAAATTAGAAAGCACTTTTATGGACCCTGAGCTCCCCATACTAACAAAGGCCCATCTTTTCAATATAAACATGATACCAGTGTTGCTGTGTGGCAACACCACCTGGAACACCATTGCTGCTGAAGAACTCAAAGATGAGCAGTGGGAGCTCTCTTGATAGGGGCTAAGAGGCTGCAGCAGACAGCCAGTGAGGAATTGGAAAGAGAAACAGGGATGAAGGAGGCCATCAAGGACCTGTGTGACGGAAACAGAAGATGGGCGAGGCATGTGGCAGGAGTTTGGGGGGCGGGGGAGGTATGAGGCCAGAGGACTTCACTGGAACTCCCAACATTGGAAAGAAAGCAAGGCAGGCCCCTGTTAGAAACTTTGAGGACCTGGATATCTGTCACGTAGAAGGGGCAGGCCTGGATGGGCTGTGGTCTTCATCGCTGGAGTGGCCTCCTGAGCTAATAAGATCACAGATCGGTTTGAGTATCTGAGCTTCTTGGGAGCCAGTCTTTGGTCTTCAGTGACGGGGAGTGCCACAGTAGAAGCTGACCCTTGTTTACCCAAACTGGACTCATGGGGTGGGAAGAATAGCTGGCAAGCCTCGGGAGTATCTTCGGAGTAAAATGCATGGTTTTGGGATTGCTGCCTGTTCTGTTACCTGGTTTCTTCCCCCATCCCACCATAGCCTGACCGAATGGTGAATGCCTGGCATAGCTGACCTTAATAGCTCTCTTCTTTGATGTGTGCTTCATGCAGTGGGACTTCTCTCTCAGTAACACCTTATTTGATTCTTTTTGTTTTGGTTTGATTTTGGAGGCAGTTGGGGTTAAGTGAGTTTTCCAGGGTCGTGGAGCTAGTGTCTGATGCCAGATTTGCACTCAGGTCCTCCTGACTCCAGGGTGGGTACTTTATCCACTGTACCACCTAGCTGCCCCTTCGTTTGATTCTCCAGCAGAATACATGGAAGAGGGAAAAGAAAGCGTCAAGAAAAATGGGCCAGAACTCACTCTCCATGCCCCTGAGAGGGCTAGGCTGGAGACCCCTGGAGATCAAGGAGGAGAGTCTTGCGCTTTTCAAAGTTCACTCCCCTCAGGGCCTGTCTCTGGTGTGGTGAGGGGCCCACCTGGGATACACAGGCAGATGGGAAGTAGAACTCAGGAGTCTGGGAAATGTCAGAAGGACCTCAGGGGCCCCTGAGTCAGTCCTTAGTCTGACCCTGAATCTTCCGCAAGACTTCTCCCCAGGGAGACTCCACTGCCTCCCGACATAGCCCATTCCACCTAGGGACAAAGGCACAAAATCTCCCTCTGCTGCTTCCACCCACCGCTTCTCCTTCTGCCCTCAGATGCCAGGCAGAGCAGGTTTAAACCCTCTTGTCCATGATAGCTCTTCAAAGTGTCTAAAGACAGCTTTGAGTCATGGCCCCCATGCCTCTTCTTCAAGCTAAGTATCCCTGGTTCAAAACAATTCTGGTTTGGTCCAGTCTCCCATCCCCTCATGATTCCAGCATAGATAGAGTAGATAAGATACTATAATGGTATGTGCATAGTGGAAAGAACACAATTGGGACGACCCCCATCCCTCCTTGCCCTTTCAGCTTCTTTATGTGTTGTCTTCCCCTGGTAGATTGTAAGCCGTGTGAGAGTAGGGACTGTCTTTTGCCTTTCTTTGTATCCTCAGTGCAGTGCTCGGCACACAGTAGGTGCTGAGCACGTTTATTGACTGACATAGTGAAACTCACTCAGATACCCTAACTTCTTAGTTTCTCAGTCAACTCAATTTCCATCACCTCTCCCTCAGCTACACCTCAGATGGTCATACCCTTGATCCTACCATCACCCAGAATATTCCACTTCCATATTCACAGACTCTGACAATCCTTTATCTGATATTGGGTCATGAGCTTTTATCATTCCATTTTTTCCTCATGCCTTGAGACCCCTACCCCTGTTCTTTGTCCTTTCCATCATCTCCACCCCTCATCTCTTTCCCATTGCCCCTACACTAGATGTACTCTCCTGCCTTCTTTTAGAGGCAACAAAGTGTTATAAGGGATGGAGTGTAGTACTTGGAGCCAGAAAGATCTGAGTTCAAATCCTGCCTCAGATGCTTACTAATTGTGTGATCCTGGACAAGTCATTTAACTTCTGTAAGCCTTGGTTTCCTCATCTTTAAAATGGGAATAATAACCTGGCACCTAACTCCTAGGGTTGTTGTGAGAATCAAATGAGATGACACATGTAAAACCCTGGGCAGATCTTGATGCACTGTGTAAATGCTAGTTATTATTACTATTATTATTCCATATATTGACCTCTTGTGAGCCAGCTCAACTCTACACTATCCTCTACTCTCAAATCTCAAATCCCCCAATCCTAGACCATTCCCAACACCCACCTCCTTTGTTCCTATTCATATGCTGCTAAGTGGAGCTGGAGTAAGTGATGAAACTGTGCTGACTGGATCCACTACAAATTTGCTATCTAATCTCATCTGGACCCTCCCTGTAACTAGGTAGTCATCCTACTCCTCTCTAATCAGTTTGATATCCCACTCTCCACTGAGGCTGTTCTAAACCTCCTTCCTCCTGGACCTCCCAAGGCATCAGCTCTTTTCACCCTCACAGTTGTGGACCTTGATTTATACTTGACCAACAAAAAAAAAAGGGAGAGACCTTTTGCCATGAGCTCCTTTTTCCCCTCCTCCCACTTATCTCACATCACTCAGACACCTTTTCCCGCCATGTCTTCCTTCACTCTTGTCCTTCTCTTTGTCAAAGCTAACCCCTCTACAGAAACGTTGATCCCCTTGCAACCTGCCTTCTCCAGCAGAGTGTCCCCTCTCTCCCCCTCCTCTTTCTTACTTGCAATCTCTCCTTAAGTGCTGGCTTCTTCCCAGCTGCCTGCAAGTGTGTCCATGTCCCCCATCCTTAAAAATACCTCACTTGGTCCTACCAATCCTGCTAGTTATCATCTTCCACTTCTTTTCATCTTCAAAGACAAAAGTCTTGGAGAAAGCCACCTACGCTGGGTGCCTTCACTTCTTCCTATCACTCAGTTCTAAACCCTGTGCCATCTTGCTTCTGACCTATTCATTCAACTGAAGCTGCTCTCTCTCAGGTGTTACCAATGCACTTTTCACACTCTCTCACCACCCTTCTTGACCACTCATCAGCATTTGACAGTGTTATTCTACGTCCCCCCCCATACTCTTTCCTCTGTGGGTTTTCATGACCCCACTCTCTCCTGGTTCTCTTCCAATCTGTCTGACCTCTCCTCCTAAGTCTCCTTGGCTTGGATCTTCATCCATACAGTTAGAAAGCAAAGCAGATAGACTGCTGGACTTGGAGTCAGGAAGTTGTGGGCTTAAATCCTGCCTCAGATACCAGTTGTGTGACCCTGGACAAGTCTCTCAACCTCTCTTAGCCTCAATTTCCTCATCTATAAAATGAAGATAATAATAGCACCTACCTTACAGGTGTTGTAAGGAGCAAATGAGATAAATTTGTTCAGTGCTTTATAACCCTTAAAGCACTGTATAAATGCTAGCTATTATTATTGTTTAAGTTATACCCATCAACTCTAGGTTTCCCCCAGAGACTGTATCTTGAGCCTTCTTCTTTTCTGGCTCTATCCTACCTAACCTGGTGATTTCATTAGCTCCCACAGGTTCAATTATTATCACTATATAGATGATTTCAAGGTCTATACACTTAGTTCTAATCTCTCTCCTATGCTCGAGTCCCACATCACCATCTGGCCTTTGGATATCTCAAATATGCGTGTCCTGTGGGCAATTCAAACTCAGCATGTACAAAATGTAACATTTTCTTTGCCCCAAGCCCTCCCTCTCCTCTTATATTCCTTTACACAAAACCTTCAACTGTTCCCCAGATATGACTTAGGCTTTCATACTCTTCCTGTCACCTGAATTGCTTCTCCTCAGTCCTAAATGTGCTGTTGAAATCCTATCAATACTGGTCAAAGGCCTTGCTCAAGTGCCACCTCTTCCTTGAATTCTTCCTTGAACTTCCCACCTGGAAGAGCTGTCACCCTTCTCCACTCCTGCCGCCTTTGTTTGTACTTAATCCCATGTCACAAGTGGCAGTTTTTGCCATTTATTTGTCCACATGCCATCTCATCTGCTAAACTGTAAGTTCTCAGAGGGGACGAGGATGTGCTCTTCTCTTGATCTCTTGTAAAACCTAGCGCAGGATAGAACTTTAAATGGGTAGGTGAATGTAAACATAGATGAACCCAGAGAGAACATAGTATAGCAGTCCTCACAGGAGTAGAGAAGGGTTCTAAGCGGGGTAGGGTTGTCAAGGAAGTCTTGCTAGGAGGGATGGGTTTTGAAGGTGGAAACAGAGATAACAGAGAAAACTGGGCCTTTAGCTGGTAAGCCTAGCTGTTCTCTCATCCTCAGGTTCTTCTGATATTGTTACAATTTCTTTTTGTCTTAGTGACCTCTGAGGCTTCATTCCCTCCCTCTCTTTCCCATTTTATCTTTGTCTTAGGTCTCTACAGCTTGGGCAAAGAGTCCCTTCTGGAACAGCTGGCCCTGGAGTTCCAGACCTGGGTAGTGCTGAGTCCTCGGCGGATGGAGGTGGTCCGGCTAATGGAGCTAGCAGAGGTGTTCACTGTGGAGGAGGGGGCTGGCCGCATCCATGCTGTGAGTTGTGCTGAGGTTTGCTGTAGTGCCATGCTGCAGTGGAATCGCGCTAATCCCACTATTGCCATCCTGCCCACGAGCCGGAGAATCCGTGTCTCCCACCCTGGGATTCATGTGATTCCTTATTCTGACCACTCCTCCTTCTCTGAGTTGTGTGACTTTGTGGCTGCACTGAGGCCCTGCCGGATAGTGCCCATTGTCCAGGGAGGATCTTGTCAGGATTATTTTCAGGAAAGCCTGAGTCCCCAGCTACTCATTGAGCCCCAGGTGCCTTTTTCTGTGCAGCAATACATGGGGACCTCTTGGAATCCCCCAAAAGAATGGGGCCATGTCTGGCTACTAGAAAGAGGACCCAAGAGGCCAAAGACCCAGGGTGTTGTCTTTGAGTCACCTGAGAGAGAATCTGATCCACCTCAAACTCTGAGGAATCTCAAGAGACCTAAGAGGGAGAACCTTTTCCCCCAGCGGAGGGACAGTCAGAAACAGCCCAGCCTGCTTGTTTCATGTGCTGAGGAACAGCTGTCTGTCCATCTAGCAGACTCTAACAGTGAGGATGGAGGGGATTGGCCGGTACCGTTCTCATCAGACAAGGCAATGCAGACGGTGAAGGCTGCCCTCACAGAATTCACAGGGAACCTGAGGCCTGCCAGGGAAGGAGACAGCCCTAAAGGACTGGGGGAGCAGAGAAATTCAGGACCTCGGCATGTTTGTTGGAGAGGAGAGAGTGGGCCCACAACCAGCACCAGCAAAGCCTTGAGGGTGCAGGCAACTGAGCCCTGGATCCTGGCACTAGAATACCTCCTAACACCTCTGAGCTTCCTTCAGATGGGATATTCCTCAAGGAACTTTGATCACCAAGTGGAAAAATATCTGAGGAGTATGGGTAGGGGTACCCATTTGGAGCTTTTCTCATAGTATAAATGAGAAATGAAAATAGACATTGTGTGTTTCCTTTGGTTTTTGTGGCATCTCAGAGTGTCTGATGGCTGATGGAGTGAAGAGGCCTGATTCTGGGGCATATCTACCTGCTCTGCCTTTCCCCAGACTGCTGTAGGTCTGCAGTGGTCTGGCTCACCAGGGTACCCACAGGATTGATCTGAGTCAAGAGATGCCATCTCCTTCCTGCTTGTCTCCCTCCACTGCTCCCCTCTCCTCATTCCCCTTATTTTGTTTTTGTGCCATGAGCATCAGCAACCATATCCCCAAAGGATCAGTGTGATGGGGGGGGAGGTGTGGCACAAATAGTAACACTGACAATCACTTCCATGCTGTGACTTCAGCCAGCTTCCCATCTTGGGACCTCTGGGAGAGAGCAGGAAATAAGGGAGAGTCCAGGAACCAACTTGATGGGAATTCCACTCTTTCCTCCTCCTCCTCCTGGGATTTCATCAGCTTATTGCTGACCTATATCTTGGAGCTCAGTCAACTCTAAGGCTGTAGTCCTATACCATAATTAGCACTTGCAGTCAGCTAACTATTGGGATTGGGGGTGCGGTGTAGAAATTTGCCTGCCTTTGGGGGCTGCCCCATGCTGCTGAAGCCCCTGGCCATTTGGCAGGCACAGAGTTGCAAGAGACCAAATGTCCTGCCAGATGTTCCTCCAGTTTGCATAGCTGGGATGTTTGCTGCCCCCCCCCCCCCCAGCCTCTTGGGTTGAGCAAGGAGGCCAAGCACACAGCCTGTTTGTTTTAGTTTCCAAGGAAGAAACCATGGAGCCAGCTGGCTGGATGTGAGGGGGGTGTGCGGTTCTACCCTGGCCTTCTGCTAACACCTTGACTGAATGCCAGACCAACCAGCTTGATGGGCAGAATAGACCAAACAGTGCAGGATAGTGCTACAGAGTACATGGAAACTGCCATGGGGGTACGGGTGGGGGCTGGGCGGAGTCATAGCTCCTGCTGCATAGAGGACAGAAGAAACTTTCCCACTTCCCTAGAGGAAGATGTAATGAGTTTAGAATTTGAAATAGTAATTTGCCTCTGAAAGACATATGTAGCTTTTATGATATTTATTACATTTCTTCATTGTACAGAGCCTTCTTAAACTGAGGGCTACAAAGGTGGTCCTTATTCTGAAGTTCCCAATCTAATTGTGAAGATTAGACACCGAAAAATAACAAGAGAGCAACAAGTGCAAATGTATATAATGAGAATAATTGTATAAACACCAAAGGGAGGGATAGATGAAATAAATAACTGTCCATGGAAGGCCCATGTGGACAGAGTCTTGTGTGACTTCTCTAGGCACCCTAAGTTGCTGCACTGTGGGATTCAAGGTGGCTGGGATGATAAGGATGTCCCTTCTACGTAGGGCTCAGGCAAGGAAGCTTATCTCCTGGCACTAAGAAGGGCCTCATGGACTGCAGTGTTGTGGTTGGGTGGTTTTTTTTTCTCTTCAGTATTTGGTAATCTAAAAACATACATGTAAATGTCATTGGTGCATTTTATTTTTACCTCAATCATTTCTGGGTATTCTCCCAGCTCACAAGTCTTCTTTTTCAATAAAGAAAAAAAAAAAGAGTTAAAAGACACTAACACAGTAGCCCTATCTGGTGGGTATACAAAATTGTGGACCGTCATTTTCCTATCTTTCTCTGAAAAGAAGCAAATAGTATCACATCTTTTCTTTCAGATGAGTATTGGTTCTTACTGTTACTCAGCATTTGGTTTCATTTTAATGTTCTTTTCTTTTCTCTTCTCCTTTGCCTCTGTGTTGATTGTTCTGATTTCACTTACTTAAAATGGCGTCAGTTGATACCAGTACCTTGTAGTGCTGATTCATGTGATGTCACACCATATTCCCTCTAGAAGGATCCCCAGGAAGAAAGAAAGATTAAAAATGATGATTCCAGAAGGTTTAGGGGATTGTTTCATTGTTCTTTTGCAATGATGGTGCAAATGCCACAGTATGACTCCACAGAATCATAGTGTTGGAGGGTAATTAATCAGCCATCTAATGTACCTCCCCCCCCAAAAAAAAAGTTCTGCCCTATACCACACCTAGCAAGTTGTCATTTCCAGTGTGGTCTTGAAAATTTCCAAGGAGTGGGTACCTGTCATCTATGGAGAGATCCCATTAAAGCTCTGGATAGCTTTAATGGTTTTCAGGTTTATCCTGACCTCATATCTAAATTTGGCATTTTGAACTCCCAACCCTTGCTCTTGGTTCTTGGAGCCAAACAGGACAAGTTAATCTCCTTTCTGTGGTATGGCCCTTCAAAAACAAATGCAGCCATCACGTCCCACCTGAGTCTTCTCCAGGCTTTGAGTAAGTCTGCCCAAACCATTAAAAAATGATTCCCATTGTGATACTTCATTTAGTTGGCTTACAGAACATCTCCACCCCACACTCTCTTCCCCCACCAGAATCACAGCACAGATGCTTCTCTATTCTTCCCAAAGTTCTATTATCACATATGCCTCTAGCCAGGATTCTTTTTTTCTTTCTTTTTTTTTTTTTTTGGTGAGGCAGTCGGGGGTTAAGTGACTTGCCTGTGGTCACACAGCTAGTAAATGTCAAGTATCTGAGGTCAGATTTGAACTCACGTCCTCCGGACTCCAAGGCCTGAGCTCAATCCACTACCCCCCGTAGCTGCCCCCCTCTAGCCAGAATTCCTAACCTTAATTCACTCCTTTGGGAGTCTGTTGAAGCCTATAGATGTACCTTTCTCAGAAAAGTGTTTTTAAATGTATAAAATTAAATACATAAGATTACAAAGGAAACCAATGATGCTGGAATAGTTATCAAAATGTTAATAAAAATCAAACTCAGAGACACTAGGTTAAGAATCCTTTGTCTAAAGTGAGTTAAGATTTCATTGTTAGACTTTAACTGCTTGAGATAATTGGAAATGCGCTATCATGCAAAGTTAAATTTGATAAATAATGCTTATTAAATGCTTGCTATGTGTAATAATAGCTAACATTTATATAGAACTTTAGGATTTACCAAGTACTTTGCATAGCTCAGTAACTGTGAGAAAGGTACCATTTTATAGATGAGGAACTGAGGTTGAGATAGGTTAAGTGACTTGTGTGGGGTCATAAAATTAGTAAGTGTCAGAAACAATTTGAACTCGGGTCTTGCTGACTACAAGCACAGTGCTGTATTTACTGTGTTCCCTCACTGTGTAAGACACTCCAGGAGGCGCCCAGGAAAATAGAACTACCTGATTTGATTCAGTAAGCATTTATTAAGCACCTACTGCATAAGCCTGGGAGAATTTATTAAGCACCTACTGTATAAGCACTTTGGATGAGACTGTCTACCCTCTCCTAGTTTTAAAACTATCAGGAGAATACAACAAGAACACATCTCCATATTCAGATGTACATAAGTGCGTTATGTGCAAAGCAAATTTCTTTGAGACCTGAGGGGAAGCAAGCATGACTCCTGGAAGAAGTGGGATTTGCTAAGTGACCAAGAACCATAAGAAAAAATGGTTCTAAATCACTACAGGAAGAAAATGAAAACACCACCATGGTTTTACCTTGACCAGCTAAGAGGCAAAGATGATAAAAGATGGAAATAATCCACTGAAGGGGCTGGAAGGCAATACACCCACTAATAGATTTGTGATGGACCTGTGAATTTGTCTAACCATTCTAAAAAGGTCAGGATGCTCCTTGACTGGGCCAAACACATTTAGGTATATAAACGTACCACAATTAAGAACTGTTAAATGCGTATGATGCTGAAAGGGGAGGGGACTGAACTAAGGCAGGAAACATCTGCATATGTTTCAAGGACTGGTTTCCCGTGAATTCTCCCAGTGCGGGGAAAGGATATGGTAGAAAAAGTCTGAAGTACAGCTTGGAGAGGGATGAAACATGGCTGACCCAAAAGCCCTTAAATGGAGGTTCTGGGAAGAAGCAAAGGTTGAGATGGCACCAGCAGAGGGTCCTTCTGATGTGTGAATTCCAGAACTAGAGTGCGCTTCCAAGGGGCAGCTGGGTGGCACAGTGGATAGAGCACTGGCCCTGGATTCAGGAAGACCTGAGTTCAAATCCAATCTCAGACACATAACACTTACTAGTTGTGTGACCCTGGGCAAGTCGCTTAACCCCATTGACTAGCCAAATAAATAAATAAATAAATAAAAATAGAGTGAGCTTCCTGGATGAAAAGGATTCGGGGGAATGGTAGAGGAAACCCTTAGTGCAGCCTGGAGAGGAATGAAACTTGCAGTCTTGGTTGGAGGTTCATAGAAGACTAGTTGCTACTTATTCCTCAGATGTATTAGGAGGGGCAGCTAGGTGGTGCAGTGGCTTTGGCGTCAGGAGGACCTGAGTTTAAATCTGGTCTTAGACACATAATACTTACTAGCTGTGTGACCCTGGGCAAGTCACTTAACCGTATTACCTAGTCTCCCCCCCCCCAAAAAAATAAAAAACAAAAAAACCATTCACTATCAAATGTATTAGGAACACAAGCCTTGAGGGCTAGACGTCTAGTACTGGCCCTCACTGGCGTGCTTCCCCATGATCAGTTTTGACTAGCACACACTCGGTTTTTAGAAAAGGTATTTACTAAGGTGGAACAAAAGGTACAAAAAAGGTAAAAAAAAAAAACCCAAATAAACCATGGGGTCACATTTTCTGACAAATACGCAGAGTTAATGTAGAGAGTGCTTAAATAAGTGCAATAATGGTGGTGCACATATGAAGAGAAAGGGGTACTTTGCATCTCCTTGACTGAGAAATCCTTTTCTGCTTTTGTGGAATCCTCATGAAGGTTCTGGGAAGTGAGAAGGGAGGAATGATCTCAGCTAGGCTCCCGGGATCCAAAGGCAACACCTTTCCCTGGTGAGAAGTCATTCCCCCCAAAGCCTCCCATCCTCCAGTGACTTGATCTCTGTGGCTGCTACTGCATCTGGCAATGGCCACTTCTGGATCTCCCAGACTCCCAAGATCCATGTCTGGGCAGAGCTTCTTCATGATTGATGTTTAGGGGAAATAAACACCAAAAAGACATTCAGGACGGCCAGGAGACATGGAGCTGTAGGTCCTCAGCCTGGCTCTCAGGGAGGCAGCTCAAAGTAGCCCTACCACTTCACATTTAGGAGGCAAAGAGAGATGGCCAGAGGGAGGGTCCCTTATGTAAGCATGCTAAGGACCAACTGAGCAATTCCTGAGTCATCAGCTCTTTGTTTTCCACAGCCAATTAGAAAGCTTTGTCTCGGGGAAGGGAGGGGAGCAAGCATTTATTAAGTGCATACTGTATGCCAGATACTGTACTAAGGTCTTTGCAAGTATCTCATTTGATCCTCACAACAGCACTGTTACTATCCTCATTTTATGGTCAAGGAAACCAAGGCAAACAGGTTAAAGTTGCTTTCCCAGAGTCACAGAGCTAGTTAAATGTCTGAGGCGGTATTTGAACTTGAGTGATCATGACTCCGGGCCTAGTACTCTACCCAGTGAACCACCTAGCTATTCAGTCATTCAATCATGGCCAGCTCTCCTAGTTTTCACATGGTCCTTTGGACTGGAACTAGGCATGAAATAGCTGCATATATTTTAAGGACTGGTGAAGGGGACTAGGTTCTCCCAAGGAAAGTCCATCCCCGTTACAAAAAGAAGAACTCAATTGTTTGTATCCTTTGACCCTGGGATCCTAAATTTTGGGCAGATGTCACTGAGAAGGTCAGTGACAGAAAGAAAGTTCTTATCTATAACAAAATACAACAGCCTTCTATAGTAGCAACAAAGTGGCAACAAGACGAGGTGCTTGTTGATTGGGGGAGTGTCTGAACAAATTGTGGTATATGAATATTATTGAACTGTAGGAAGTGGTGAATATGAGGAATTCAGAAGAATATGGAAAGAATCATTTGAAGGGATGCAGAATAAAAAAGAATGAAAAAAATAATGTACACAATTAAAATAATGTGCATTAAAACAACACTGAAAAGCCACTGAACTCAGATTAATTGCGCTGAAAATCTTGGTTCCAGAGAATAAACAAAGCACATAACTCTCCTCTCAGTAGAGATGTGGGGGATAATAGATAGGGAAAGCTGGAAGTATTCAAAGATGTAATTGGTTGGTCAGTTGAGTTAGTTTTGTTAAACTTTTACTTTTTTACAGGGAAGGTATAATGGTAGTAGACCAAAAAAAAAAATCCCCCCAAAAACTATATACTTAAAAAAAAAAAAAAGGAATAGCCAGGAATATAGGAGAAGCAGGAGAGAACCCACATCATAGAAGTCATGGGAGAAGAATATTCAGGAGGGAATGAATAATCAACATTGTCAAAAGGTCAGAGATTAAATAGGATGAGAAGTAAAAAATGCCAGCAGAATTAGTGGGTAATCAATTCATCAATAAGCGTTTTTTTAAGTGGTGTCTTTGTACTAAGTACTGTGATGAGCCCCGGGGAAACAAAGAAAAATGCAAAAACAAAAAACAAAAACAAAAAACCCAGTCTCTTTCCTCAAAGAAGGGTTTCCTCTAAATAGGGAGGCCACCATGCTTTAGGCAACTCTCAAGACCAAGCTGTAAAACCATTTGCTAATCTGCGTGAGAGATG